GCATTCTGACTTGTTAAATTTCATCCCATAGCCCAATGTTCCAATCTATCTAGCTCCCTCTGCAAGGCCTCCTGTCCCTCAAGAGAGTCAACAGCATCTCCCAGTTTGTTGTTATCATCACCAAACTTGCTAATTGTGCACCATGTGCAAAGGTATAACTTCTGAACAGAAAAGACATCTCAAGGGAAACCATATCTATTTATGTTGAAATAATAAAAAAGTTGAAATGAGTGTTTTTTTTAAAGGTGGTATGGCATTCTGAAGATCATTAGGCTTAAGACTCACTTACTAGGCTAGTAAGAAACACGAGTAACTGAGAGGGTAATGTAGTAGATGTGGTGGTATGGACATTTAAAATTCTGTTTTTGTATCTGTTTTTAATTCAGTGAATTTGTGTCCTGGTTGTTGGAAATTGGAGAAATACACAAATCTGAAGAAGGTGTTCATCTTGGCCAAGCTTTATTAGAGAATGGCATTATCCATCATGGTAAATACAATTAGTTTTAACTAACTTGTTTTCAAGGTAATTGTTGTAATTAGAGTGGACTTAATTTTGTTTGACAAAAAGATGGTCTTGTTTGTTAATGCAAGATAGCTTGTTGAATCTGCATTATATCCTTGCAGGGACCTCATGGGGCCATTGTCCATGCCTAGCAGATTTACTGGGAGAGGCTCCATTGATTTAATCAGATTACCTCTATGCTGTTGGGATCACAGCGTTGCAAACAGGAACCTAGAGAAACGTTGCTCTTCTCTTGTAAACAAAAATTCTGGGGAAACAGAGAGCAGTAGATTGTTTTTAAGGATTTAAACCTTTTATTAAGGCCAGGCTTTTTAAGGATACGTGTTCAATCAAGAATTGTAGAAGTGAGTGAGTCACAGTCGGCTGTTGATAAATGTGCCTGCTCGTCTATTAGGTATTACAAGTGGAGCTGGTGGAATCCAACCTAGAACCCAACATTTTAATCTCTTAAATTTTAAGGCCCTGTTTTCACGACATTGCACAGTTACTAAAATTGATATTTTTATGCTGAAACTTTCAGTCAACTATCTGTGTTTAGCTCATTCTGGAGAGAAGTATCACTGAAATGATTCAGTTTTTTAGCCAATAAGAAGGTTTGATTTCTGAAGGTAATTTGCATTGGCATCATTTTTCTCTTACCCGAGCAGGTCCTCATCTCTGTCCCTTTTACGAGGAGGGACCCTTTTCCAACAGGATCATATAAGCGAACTGGAGAAACTTCTGTTTTTGAAGGCATGTTTGGCTTACAATAGATGCAGTCACTTAAAAAAAACAAGTAGTGAAACAGTTGTGAAGTTAGCTACTGTTCCAGCATAGATCCAGGGTGCAAACTTAGATGGAATCATTGATAATATACATTGTAATACTTCTATACTTCAGCCAGCAATGAATTTAATACTTACTTTTTAAGTTCTTTGCCATGATGTTTTCAGTGTCCTTGACTGGAAAGAAAGCGGGAGTAACAGTGCCACTTAGCTGTGTGCATTTTAAACATATGCAGAGTAGGAGGAAAAACATTAAGGTTATTCATCAGTAGTCATGTAGTCTTTAATTCTTTAATGTCAGTCTCCATGATTTTCCTCCACCGTCATTCAAATGTCAGATGCTATTATGTTTACTACACACACAGAATTGTTTTCAATGAAATGATTCTGTCGCCAAAGATTCTTCTCCTGATCTTGTAATTTATATCCCAAATACACTCATAGACTTTCTCAATACAGACTTAAATGAGTATTGTGTAATTTCATGACATAAAAGGGTAATTATATTATAGCATAGAAATGTGAGCCAGACATGCTGCTTTGAATAGTGGATCCAGCTGTGGTTCAATGAAAATAGAATTCTTAAAATAAAGTTGAATGAACCATCTGTTTTCACAGAGGGAGCAAGGGAGAAAGAAAGCTTAGCTGTTACTCACATTGCAAATGTTATAGAGGGCTTTGTTAGACTTTGCATATTCACTATGCTGGCCATTGTTTTCCCTGTGCTGGGCTTCATTCTAGCAATGCCAGACCCATGTTGTGATGGGCATTGTTTTACTTCCTGGTGTGTGAACTCTTGCAAGTAGAGAAGTTATGGGTTTTCCTCGTTTTTTTTTTTTTTTCTTTCCCCCCAGTTTTGCAAAAGAAAAAAATCTGTTCCTATGTTGCTATTCTAAATCCTCCTGATGGCATTCTTTAATACCTGAAATCACTTATATCAGCCAATGGGCTGAGATACTTTGTCCAGTCACTTGCTGCTGCTGATTAGAGATGGAAGCTTCCTCTCAAGGCAGTAAGGAGCTTTGTAGTTACAAAAATAATCTGAATATCAGATAGTATTAAAACGAATAGGTATTTACATGACCTGTGCAGTTTCTGGGATTGGTGTACCGATTTGAGTCAAAATTACCCTGGCCAAAAAGTAAGGGTAAAGACTAGTTTAAACCTGGATCAGTTCCCTTTTCTTAGTGTGTGCCGTATAAAAATCTATCCCAACATATAGGTACGTTGTTGGGAGTGGCATACAAAACAGCTTGGGGTTCCTTATTTTAGCGGTAATGGTGTGTTTTATCAGCTTTAAGTGTTTGAAACTATGGTCTTGCAAATGTACAGCTGATACTAGTTAAAAGGAAAGCTATACAGTAAGCTAAATGGTTTCATAATTTTTTGTTAAGGTTTCCATGTTAGTACGGTAGCTGATAGATCATCCATCCTTCATCTTGAGTAGAACAAGCCAAATCACGTCTATACCATAGAAAACACCCCCTTCCCCCCCAAACGAATAGTGATTTACAGCTTCCCTCACAGCATTCACTGGATATATGTGGTATTCTACACAACACAGTACAGTCGGGAGCATCCTTGTCTGGTTTCCTTGCTTTCTAGAGCTCAGCATGTGCCAGCTCTGTGGACCTGCTCCCCTAGTTTCTAGTGCACTGTATGTAAGTAGGGGCTGCAAAGACAGAGTGGTGCTTGTGTTCCTCAGAGGGCACAGCCTGCTCTGTTCATCATAGGCATGCAAGAAAGGAAAGGTGCTTTGTAGTCCCAGTTCCCTCCCTGCGCATCTCTGTAACGCGAGGAACAATTTGGCCTTAAGCAATACTGTCCTGGTGGTGATTTTTCTATTTTCTGTAGTTGATGGTTTTAAAAACCTCTTAATTTATGCTTATCTAGAGTAATATATTTTTTCTCCAACAGTAGGAAATTATTTTTAATTACAGAACTAGAAGGTATCTTTTTTTCTGAGTTAAATGGTCACAATCGATTAAAATTAATTTAGATAGTTATACTAGGCATTGTATGTGAAAATTTTGTAGTCTATATTTGATGTATTGAGAAGCAATGATATGTAAAGGAGCTTAGGGGTCATTTTCATAATCACCTTTGTGTGAACCATCAGTTCAAGGCAATTGGAGTAGCGTCCTGGGCTTTACTATTAGTAGATACATCAAATACAAGTAGAGAAGTTATTTTAACCTTGCACATGACACTGGTGAAACCACTTAATATATAAAGTCCAGTTTTTATGTCCATGTATCAGATGATGTGTGGAGATACTGAAGAGCTTGAAGGAGCTTTGCTGCATGAAAAATGATGCAGACAGAAGGCACCTTACTATACAAAGTTTATGGTGCCTAACTACATTTTTGAAAAGAATAAGGGATGGTGGTTTAATCACTTGGTATAGGAAGCATACACAGAAGAATTACCTGACACTGTCAGGCCTGTTACTCTGATTAATGAAGACATTACAGTAGCCTCCTTTATCAGTTGATGACATACAAATTTAGTTTCAAAATTAAAGCTTATATCTGCAAGCCATACAGTAATTAATACCAGACAGTTATCCTAGGATGGTGCTAGTGCCTAGTGCTGCCCTCAGCCATCAAATGAATCAGCTGTTTTTCAGAAAGACTTGCTGTAGCACTGTTTCCAGGAGAATTTTTGTATCATATGACATGACTGTTTTGACAAAACACTTGAAGTTGTGAGGTTTGTTGCTGGAATCACATGAAGATCAACTGTGAAGATCCTTTTTCATGAGTCTTTGGGGAAATGGATTATCAACACCTTCATAATGATTGCAAGTCTCTTGCTCTTAAGGCTATACATAAAGATGTTTCCTCTCCCTTTCCTCCCCAGTGCAAGACTGGTCAGATATGTTGTAGAGGGTTTGTATCTTTATTGACTTATTTGACATTGGCCTCAGCAAGAATTAGAACAGAGAATAATGTGGAACAATAATATGAATAGTTGCAAAAGAAGCTTTATTTGGCTATTTGGTCGATAAGCTTTGCAAAAGCTCTGAAGACTAGAACAGATTTGAGCGCCAAATTTTTCAGGCTGTTCCCTGCCTGTTTGTCTGTCTTATTCTTTGCCCTGTGACTTAAAACTGGTTTCTTGTGGACTACTTAAACGTTGTGAGAAATACTGTCACCAGTGACATAAAGGAGCTTAGGGCAGATGATCTAATTGGGCTTCCTGCCCTCCCTGTCTGAAATCTACCTATTGCTGTGTGATGGGCTGTTGTTAGAAGAACTTATGTTAGCCCTCTTCTCTCGTGTTGATTTCTTCAGAAAGTGACCTAATAATACGATTGGTTTTTTTTAATTTAGTTACAGATAAGCACCAATTCAAACCTGAACACATGCTGTACAGATTCCGATATGATGATGGAACATACTACCCAAGAAATGAGATGCAGGATGTGATCTCTAAGGTACAGAATAGAAGAGTTGCTATTATTAGGAAGAACACATCAGAAATGGAGATTCTGCTTGAAAAATAATGTAAAATATTATGCTAGGATAAATAACATCCCCTCACGCTTGCCTGTCTCTATATTTATGTGAATCAAATTTAGTTTTCCGTTTGTAAGGGAAGATTTTGGCTTGTTGTTACACATTTTAAATACAAAATTATAGTTTGTTAGTTTTTAGTTATTTTTGTTATTTAATGGTTTCATATGCAGGATGCATTGTCTGTGTTTCTGGGTAATTCTGAAGCTGGTGTTTCAGTCTATTGTATTTTTCAGTCAATTTTAAGAGATACAAAGCTCTTGGTTTCAATTTTCTCTTAAATCTGAGTGTTTTTTATTAGTGCCTTAACAAGGCAGTAAATTTGCAGTCACACAGATGTTTAAACACAGATAGGTAGTGCTATCCATCTACACTACTGAGCATAACAAAATGATTGAACAAAGTTGCCTTTAAACTCATTAATAAAGCTTTTCATGATTTTGAGACTGTAGAAAATGTCAGCATTTGGGGATTACATTACAATGTCATTCACTTTTCTGGTGGCATTTGTTAATGTAAGGTATATGTAGAAAAATCTTCAATACTGAACTACCAGGCACAGCAAAGTAGGATGGAATCAGATTTGACACAACTTTTAATTGTTATACATGGTTCTTTTTGCATGTTATAAACATAATTGTTTTTTGATAGTCTGCTAAAGAATACTAATGTGATTTCTTTTTTTAAATAGCATTTTCTAATGGTAGTTCCTTAAACTTCTCCAAATGTTTTATTTTTTGTTTTTCATTGAAAACATTTCCAATCTTTGAATCTTCTTGCATTTTTTTTTAAAGTTATTGGTTAATTATAATTTCAGTTTGTAAGTAAAGTATTGATGCATATAATCAAATGCAGTGTTTTTTACTTTCACTACTCACTTAGTGTGTAGAATAGCAACCAGTGATTGGGAAGACCTTAATGCATGGAAACATTGCTTTATCTTTCAGGTTTTGTGTTCTTCTCTTTCAAAGTACTATACCTTCAGAATTTTTTAATACTACCTTAAAGCTAATCCTTTTTGCATGTGTCTCGGTGAAGCTTAGATTAGACTGGAAATGTTTTATTTCTCATAATTTATTCATCAATATTGTTATCTGGAAATATTAAGTTTTGGCACATGAAAATATAGAGATATTTGAACAGACTTTTTTTACTATATAAATGAAGTGCATTTAAAACAAGCAGGCTTCCTTACTGCATCCATTCCTCTTAGGATCTCTGTGGTGTGAACGTGTGGTTAACTAACCTCATCTTTCTTTTTAACAGGGTGTACGACTGTACTGTCGCCTTCACAGTCTGTTTACCCCAGTAATTAGGTGAGTCCAATTGGGAAATCCTTAGAAAGTCATTCAGAAGAAGTATATAATCTGAAGATACTGTGTTTGAATTTAGGAACCTAACCCATCCTTTCAAGTTTGGTCTCTTGGGAGTAATCAAACAAGATTGAAGGGCTGTCAAGACAAAAAGCGTAACTGAGTCCTTAAATGCAAACTCCGTTCAATATGACTTTTTTTTACAGACTTTTAGAGCCTTGTAGGTCCTGATGGATATGCTTAGATGCTTACTGTGTGTATTAATACACACCTTTACTAACACTCCATTAGCTCATTTGGAGAGTCCCAGCTGTAACAAGACAACTGCCTTTATGCTCCAGTGACGTTATCGCCCAAGTAAGATATGGTCAGCCTCCTCCTTTCTATCTACACTGAAAGGTTTGACTTGCTTTTTTACTCCAGAGGCAACTTCTGAACCATTACAAAACACTCAATTCATGCTTTTACTAACTTGTTTATAAAATACAAGTTTTTTTCTGTTAGGCTGTTTTTGAGTTTTTGTTTGATTTTTAAGAATTGTTTTGTTTTGAACAGGGATAAAGATTATCACCTGAGAACCTACAAATCTGTGGTCATGGCTAACAAACTCATAGACTGGTTGATTGCACAGGCAAGTATACACCTTTGGGTTTATGTACATTTTGCATTTAAATTCTAATTTGAAAGGCAGTGATGTATTAAGCAGAATAACATACAAACGCTTTGTATAAGGGTTATTGGAACAGCGTGTGTAAGTGTAATCCTCTTAAACTAGTAAAGTAATGAAATCAGCTGTCGGCAGCCATGCTGTTCATCCCTTTTGTGCTTATCTTCCTTATTTGCAATTGAATTTTAAATGTTTTAATGAGACTTAACTTTGTGATTCAGCATGTAATATTGTTCATGGCTTAAAATGAAATGGGTAGGCTCTGAAAACTCTCAAGTAGTAACTAGATGGATAAAAGTCAGTACCAATTTGCTGTCATCAGTTCTGTTTTATTTTAAGTGAACTAGGAACAAGAACAGGGTAACCTGTTCACTCAGTCAACATGCACCAGTTTTATAAAATAAAAGTTAAAAAGTTTGATACTTTTAGATTTTATTCTGTTCAATTGTTATGGAGAATGCAGTGTTACTAAAATGTTTACATATTTATTTGTAACTATAAGGAGGTATAGCATATACACATGTATATACTGTTTTATATGTATGCTATAAATGTATGTATAAAGGTGGCGGTGGTAAATACAATCTACAACTATTGCTGGCCCTGTGAGGTTATGCCATTGTGCATAGAATCCATTTTGCTGCTATATTAAAATATTTAAAAAAAAATCTGCTATGGTTTAACAGGGGGATTGCCGGACAAGGGAAGAAGCTATGATATTTGGTGTAGCTCTTTGTGATAATGGGTTTATGCACCATGGTAAGTAAATACATTCTGTACAAACTATGCTTACCTTTTGTTTAATGCTATCTACATAGTAGGAAGGAAATGCAGGGCTGGTAAAGATATTCCAGAAGGGATAGGAAGTTGTTTCATTGTATTGCTGAAGAGATCTATGCTCCAATCTTCAAGAAAAAAAGTAGCTATTATATATGCTGAAAGTTATTTTCAGTCGATTTTATAACATACACTGAGGGCTTCATCCTCTGAAGGACTTAGGGGAGGAAGTTTTATTAGCCACTTTGAAAAAAATTCTTAAGCAGGCAATACATGTTTGCACAGACGAGACGATAAAAAATGAGGAAATATGTAGGAAAGAAAGGCATTTTTGGAGGAAGGAATAAAGTATGAAGAAGCATGACTTTAAAAAAGTGAAGTGGTAACAGTAGGAGAAAGCGGACTGTAGAAAAATAAGAAAATCATAAGGACAGCAGAGAATCATAGAAGAAGGGAGAGGAGAGCAGAGATATGTGCAGTGCCAAAAATGAGGTGAACAAAGTCACATTTAATATCATCAGAGGGAAGATTTCAGTGAAAAGATTGAAGCAGTAGGTCATTTACTGAAATGAAAACCGGAAGAAATGATTTGCTCATCAGCTTGTTCAGAGGAGGGAGAATTAACTTCCTCTCTGGCACTGTTCATTCTTTTTCCTTTGATTTTTAAAAATACAAACTGCATCTATCTGCTGTTCTACTGGCTTCCACATCCCCACCAAACCCATTTCTAATACTGAACCTGGCATACTTCACTGCCTAGAGAGTGCCAGATCTTGGTGGTGAGCATCTCCGGCAGCTGTCCAGCAGAACTTTTCAAAATCATGTTTTTAAATACATTTTAGGAAAAAAACGTGTGCTTGGCATTTTCACTAAAACCATATCAGGCTAATTCGTCTTCCTCAGCTTGGTGAAATCCCGATGTTGTAGTTGAAAATGAACTTAGTGATATCTGTCTGTAATGGATCCACATAAAATTGTTGTTTATGGTAAAATTAAGATTTCCCTAGATTCACACAAAATAGTTTGCTAGCATTTAATCTGTGTACACATGTTCAGTATTATGGACCATGAAAGACACAATATTCAAAAGTTCAAAAGAAAAAAAGGATTAATATGTGTGGTTTTGTATCATACAGTGTTAGAGAAAAGCGAGTTTAAAGATGAACCACTGCTGTTCCGTTTTTATGCGGATGAAGAAATGGAAGGGTCAAATATGAAGCACAGACTCATGAAACATGATCTGAAAGTAGTGGAAAATGTCATAGCCAAGTCATTACTGGTGAGTGAAACCGAATGATTGTGTGTTTTGATGACTAAAAAAATTGGTTGTAGTGACAGTAAATTAGCACTATGTATTGTTATTTAATGGGAATATACTTTAGTTCTTCTTAATGCCTTTCTGAACAATATTTTGAACAATTTTATTTTTCAGATTAAATCTAATGAAGGGACCTATGGTTTTGGTTTAGAAGATAAAAATAAGGTGCCAATTATTAAAGTGGTGGAGAAAGGATCAAATGCTGAGGTATCAAGTATTATAAATCATCTTCCCTATTTTATTGACTTGATCACAGGTATATGTTTTGTACATCAGTTGGGAAAATTTATAGTAGTAAAAGGTAAGAGTAACAACTTTCCAAGAAAGCTGAAGTTATGGATCTTTTTTTTCCTTTTTTTTTGTTTTTTGTTTGTTTGTTTTGTTATTTTGTTTTTGTTTTGTTTTGTTTAAAATAGAGCTCTGACCATTATCAACACTCACTTTCTGCTCAGGTAAATTGTTGTATTGAGTGGCGATGTAAGAGTTACCATTTTATTTTTATACATTTTATAATATTCCAGTGATGACATTAATCATGATTGGAATAAACATGTTTGGTAGAATACGAAATGAGTATAAAAGAGACTAGTATGCTAGTCTGTGAGTTGCACGTGGTGTATTTCATAATGAAGGATGTATCAAGCTTTGGATAAAGTCTAGAATTTAAGACTCTGAATAAATTACAGCCTCTCTGTTAGTATTGCTTTTGATGCTCTTTGAATAAATTCATATTGTTCTACTGAACTGCATGGGAATCTCTGTAGATGGAAAGATAAAGAACAAGTCTCCTCCATGAGAGAAAAATTTTAGGCATGGATTTCAAGGCATTCTAAATTTCATGGTGGGATAGGAATTTAAAATAAAAATAGATACAGCAAATCAATAATATAATACAGCCACACAGCTATGTCCAGGGTGATTTAGCTCTATTAGCTTTGCATAATTCTGTATTGTCTTTTCCAGCAGTCAGGTTCTGCCATGGTCTCAGATGGTGCTAAGGCTAACCTGTGCCCTGAGCTGCTCTGGGTACTCCTGCCATCTGAGCTAGTTACAGTTTCTTTCTTGTTTAGAGTTTAAAAACTGTGCAATTTGGCTTGCCATGCCTTTGGCTCAGGGGCCATGAAACTTTTAAGGATATTGTTTTGTTTTGGAACTTAATAAATAGTCACTAAAATATTCATCAGGTCTTTCCTTATGAAAAGAAGCTTTAGTTCCTTTGGAGAATGACGGATGGGCAAATTAGGTAACATCATAAAAAAAGTAAACTGGCTTGTTGAAAGCCGTTGTGTTAATTATTACAAATATTAACTGATATTGTAATACCATCATAAGATCTTGATTAAGACTGGGTCCTGTATTTAGGTCTCTTCAGAATGAGAGTTTAGTGTACCCTTCATGTCAATTTAACCAATTCTAGAAGCATTTTGTAGTGTAAGTCTTTTGTGCGTGGTATGTGAAGGAGGCATAAAGAATGTAAAGAAAATGTGTGTGTCATTATTCCTATTAAGGTTGCATGCAAGCAGAAGAAAACACAATGTTAGTGGTTATAAAAGGCAAACATGTACACAACTGTTATTGTTTTCTAGATGGCAGGCTTGGAAGTTGGGAAAAAAATCTTTGCCATTAACGGTGACCTGGTTTTTCTGCGACCCTTCAGTGAAGTGGATTGCTTCCTGAAAGCATGTTTAAACAGCAGAAAGCCCCTGCGGGTTCTTGTGAGCACTAAACCACGGGAGTAAGTTATCATTCCTTTGGGGGAATTTTTACGAAGTACAGTTGAAGAGAATTTTAAAAGACCAGTGGAACTTCAGACAGCACTACTGTAAAGTTATTTTAAATGCTGTATCTAATCTGACTTTGTAAAGTCAAGCAATTTGATCTGCTTTGATTTTGTTTTATTACATTTGTCAGCCAGCAAAAGCAAAACACAAGTGCTGTAGATCATCAGCTCTGCCACTTTAAATACATGCAGGAACTGCAAGTGTAAATGAGGTTTCCTTGCCTATATGGACAATTTTGATCACTTATCTCTCACTGTGTTTATTAAACAAGTTCCTCTATCTGGGGATTAGTTGCTGGTTTGGCAGAAGTCGAACTCTGTGATCTAATGGGCCCCTTCAGCGTGTGTGCTGATTGTGTAAACAGCAGGAACAAGTAAACAGCTCCTGATCTTTATATGGAGATGCATTTCTGTACACAGTTTTGACCATTCCTACTTGAATGCAATTTTTGTTACATAAAAGAAATACAAAGTGAGGCCTAATGGCTGGGTTCAGTAAGTATGTAAACAAGCATAGGCCTATTAATAAAGTTAATGCAGTTGTTACTGGTTTGTACATACCAAAGAAAGAGGCGAGTAAGAAACAGTGGTCTGGAGTGATTTTGATCAAATTTTGCAGGGTAAGGTGGAACCATCCTCTCTTACCAGGTAGCACGCACAGAGTGCCTTGGAAATGGCTCTGGTTCAGTAGTAGAATGGAGACGTATTTCTCCTGTTAATAAGCAAAGGTGTCTTGAGAAATACAATGGCACCCATAAAGGGGAAAAGAGCAAAGAAAGAAATATAGCATAAAGATGATCATCTGGAATGATACTCTAAAACAACCCCCAAACAAACAAAACAGCAACAAAAAAATCCCCCAAACCAGTAGATGATAGTGTTGTAGCAAGCATAAAAGGCATATCTTGGCCTTTCTTTAATGTAGATCTTGGTTCAACTTGCCAGTGAAAATGTGGGTGAATTTCGAGGTTGACAGAGATGATCTATAGAATGAGGAGTTGAAGAATTTGTTTCTCAGTGCTGCCTGCTTTTTGTTGGGAGTTGTGCTGCTAGCACAACTGTGTTGGCAGAAGAGACAATTCTCTCCTAAATTCTTAGCCTAAACTGCTAGTGATGGTCTTTCATAGCTCATTAGCATGTTCACAAAGCATTTTCAGAATGAAACCATATAGATAGTATCAACTATATAGATTGTATGTAACATATAAGTATACTAAGTGATGCTATACTTATGAAAATATTTCAAATGGAAATTTATTACTCTCAAGAATATTCTAATATTTTTAAAAAATTTATAGACTTCAGTGGGTTTGGGATCTCATCTCTGCTGATAATCATCTCCAAATGCTAAACATTATGTATATCAGAAAAAAATGAAAGTACACGAGATGATGCAATGATATAATTCAAAACTACCTGTAAATCAAGTTTATTACAGTCCAAACGTATTTTAAAATCACTTCTCTCAGCATCAATTTGAATTTGTCTGCTTTTGCACTGGCAGATGGAGCTGCGGGCAAAGATCCCTTAAAGGATGATGGAGCTGGCTCTGGAAGTAAAGGCTGCAAAGTTAAATCGGTGCACTGTTATGTGTGACCTAACTAGCTCTGATAAGGGCTAATGCAGCTGTGTTGCTTTTTCTGGAACCTGAGCAGATATCATGTGGATATGCTAGCTTACTTTGGGCGAGCTCAGGGCTTCATTTTAAGGAGTAATGTGAATTTTGATTCTCAGAACTGTGTTTTTGTTACTTAAGTTTGTCAGTAGGTTTATTACTGTTGCATTTACTCCAAGTGAGAGCATAGCACAATGTGCTTACAAATTATATGAACAGTAGTAGGCCGTTCTTGCTTTACAAAACTCAGTACTTTGCATAGTTGCTCAGAAAAACTGCAACAAAATATTTTTTCAATAAAACTCGCCAAGTAGGCAGTTAGATGTTAACAAATTGTAATATGGATCTAGTCTCCGCAGTCTTCTGCAGCTCATTTGACAAGGCCTGCCATGACATGCCTCTTGGCTGAGAGACTGCCTGCCTTCCGAGGGCTTTCAATGTTGCTGTGCTGTGGCAACTTACCCAAATCACAGTCCCTTTGGGAGGAATTTTAAAGCTATGGTGGTGCTTTGGTCATAACTGACATACTGAATTTCCCTGTGAAATAGTATTGCCTTCCTCTGATTGGTTTTGGAATCTCAGCTTGCTCTTATTTCTGATGTCATTGATGCAGAGTATCTGGAATATGAATGGTGCTGAATCTGAAACTGTGAATTGAATTAAAGTGTGGAGTCTTACACCCTTCTAACATTGCTGTCCGCTTTTCTCTTGAATAACAAAATGCAACCTTTTGCTACATTCATATCGAATCTTTGCTTGTATCAGGACAGTGAAGATTCCTGACTCTGCAGATGGACTCGGATTCCAAATCCGGGGCTTTGGCCCATCAGTTGTCCATGCTGTTGGGAGAGGTAAGCTGTAAGAGCTGTCAATGGTACTGGTAAATATACATTTAATTACCTAAATGGCGTGGCTGATAGAAATTAAAATTAGGTCCAGTGATTCAGCTTAGATTTTTTTTTTTACCCAAAGTAACAAACAATATTAAATAAAACCAAATAAGATTATTTTGTGTTCTTATACTTTGTAAGCTTTGGATAGATTTTCTGGCTATTTTAAATTTTTTTTTTTTTTGATGTGTTTATACGAATGTAGGAAAGTTAAGTTAAGGCCATGCACTCTTTACAGGCTGAGGAATAGCTGATGGATGCAAAATCACCTTCTCCAGTGAATGGGTGTTGGGAACGGCTCATTTCCTGAGCATTAATTTGATAGGTGGCCATGTGGTTCTGCAATGTTCTGAAAACATTTTACAGAAAATGCACTTTTCACAAATCTCTTCAAGGGTGCTAGTGACCTAGTCTGCCTTAGTAATTGCAGGTGTTTCCTCTAAATACTGTTTTGTCCATTTTGTGATGTGATTGTCAAACGCTTGCCATCCCTAACTCAATATGTTCTTGACTGGTGCACTGGTGATAAAAGAAGTTGAAGCGTTCTTTGTTGCTGTCGCATGTTGTTAATGGTAGAGGCAGCTAACACTGTATTTTCAGCTATTGTGGGGCAGTTATGTCCTTTTTCCCCCTCCTCCCTTTGTAATTGAGGAATTTAAAGTGAACTGATCTGCAAAGCAGCCAGATTTGAACAGAGCTTGATGACTTTTTTCCTAGGCTGTGGTGCCAGAAATTAGATTTTCAAGAGAAAGTCTAATAAACTACAGCCTGTTGAGCTGATGTGATAATTATTTCTACACCTGGATCTCAATTCCACTGCCTATCCTTATTCATTAAGCACATACTTTATTCCAATTAAATCAACAGTATGTAAGTGCTTGCTTGTGTGGTTTGCTAAACCTGAAAGATTTTAAGCATATGCTTAAATACTTTGCTGAATTGGGACCTTGGGTTATTTGAAGAGAGGTTTTTTTTTGTTTTTTGAGAGATATTTAATAAGGCCTATTTAAATGTTTATTTTTAAATCCTTCTTTTGGGGGGGATTGCAATATCTGGTAATGGTGTCATTTCCAAAGACTTTCTTTGATACTAAATTTAAAATGCAGCTACCATCTAACGTGATAGTACCTAAAATGAGGGGAATCCAGGTATATTCTTTAAGTTATTTCCTTGTCAAATATGCTCCGCTGACAAGTCATGACATAGCTTTTCTATTTGTCAGCACTGCAGATTCAGTCTAGCCTTTTCTTTCATAGCAGCTAGCTTCTGCAGCTCAGCCCTTGCAGTCTCTAGGCAATAGATTTTGAATTCCCTGGCACCTTTGTGGCAGTATCAACAGGGACATAAGGAGGCGAATGTTCAGGTAGCTGGAACTAAGGTCATACTCCAGTGGGCTGTCTTTCAGGAGTGGGCTTGAGTCACACTGAAAAGAGCTGGAGACAGCTGCTATTTTTGTAGCACCTATTCAATGTATAGAAGATTTTCCCAAGGTGGTTAGTCCATTGTGAAAATAAATTGCTGAATCATATATTTTATGTTGCTCAAAGAGAATGTTGTTCCCCTCCTCCCCCGCGCCCCCCC